CTTGCTGTATCTCTCTCTCTCTCTCTCTCTCTCTCTCTCTCTCTCACACAAATTGGTTGTCTATTCCTCAAATGTGTTAGAAATTCAGCCCAGTCCACAATCTGACCCCTTCACTGTGGGTTGAAAACCTTTGAGTTGATTATTATAGCCACAACTGTCTGTTCCTGAGTTACAGACATGACAATGACCATCATGAACCATCTCTGAACGGACAAGAAATTCTCAAACACTCTAGAACTTTCCACTGAAGTAATCATGAATGATGTAATTTTCTTTATTCCTGATATGTATTTTCTTGTACTAAATTTATTTTAAAATGTTTGCACAATATTTTTTAAAATTTCCAACTACCCTTAGGATTCTGATTCATGTATTCATTTATTAAGTACTAATTTCTTTATTTTTGCACTGTCCCTCTATAGAGAGATGGACACTTATGACATAATAATGAAGAACAGTACAATGTCTGTTTTTTTCGAAGTCTTCTCTGCCATCTAGTTTCTAAATCTGATATAGAGACCCAGACATTCTTGCTGGGCAGGACTGGCTGTTCCCACATCAGTCTCAGCCAGTAGTGGCATTCCGTTTATGACCCTCATTCATGGTTTCCATTTTCCCACTTGATGGCTCCCTTCCTGTGAGTGACGGCAGCCATTAGTCCATGTTCCTGCACCTGAGAAGATACCATGGGGCAGAAAGAAATGTCTGTTCTGAGTTATGTCTTCTTCTGACCTAGCATGATATGCTAGAGGCTGTATTGGACACATCATATACTCCGATATGCTAGAGGATGTTTTCCAGAGATGCCAAATCAGTACGAACTGGATTTAAAGAAGTTTCGAGAACTTCTTGTTTTTAATAAATTACTTAATTCCTTCAAGCCGTGTCCTAGTTTGCTTCTCCACTGCTGTGATAAAACACTCTGACCAGTACCAACTTGAGAGAGGAATGGGTTTATTTGGCTTACATCTCCCTGTCACAGTTCATCAGGGAACCCAAGGTAGGAACTCAGGGCAGGAACCTGGAAGCAGGAGCTGGAGCACAGGCCATGGAGGAATGCTGCTTACTGGCTTGCTCTCCTGGCCCCTGCTCAGCCTGCTTTCTTATGCAACACAGGCCCACCTGCCCAGGGGTGGCACCACCCACAGTGTTCTGGGCCCTCCCAGTCACTTAACAATCAAGAAGATGCCCCACAAACATGGCCACAGGCAGTCCAATGAAGGAAATTCCCCAATTGAGGCTCCCTCATCCCAGGTGTGTCAAGTTGACACTAAAGCTATCCAGCACCAGCCTGTTTCCCCCTCCTTTGTAAACCAGGATCTGCAATTCCCAGGGTGGTCCTGAGGATCTGAGATTGTTATAGCATATGCTCATGTCTTATTTTTCTTTTCAGGAGCACTAATGGGGAGTTCCCAAGCATGAACCCAGCCATCTCAACCTGGGGAACTGAAATCACAGCAGTGAAAAGATATGCCATCATTCGACTTACACCCTGTGACATCCGGAGCCTTACCCTGGATTTTCTCGTCCTCATCTTTGCTGTGGTTGGGCTGGCAGGAAATGCCATCGTGCTGTGGCTTCTGGGCTTCGGGATGCGCAGGGATGCCTTCACTGTCTATGTCCTCAACCTGGCTGGGGCTGACTTCCTCTTCCTCTGCATTCTGACTGTATATTCCCTAGAGCGTATCATTGACTCCTTCTACCCCGTCTCCAACTCTGAATCCATCCTTGTCTTTGTCTTCATTGGGCTCATCTTTGCTTACCTTGTTGGTCTGAGCATGCTCAGTGCCATTAGTGCTGAGCGCTGCCTGTCTGTCCTGTGGCCCATCTGGTACCGCTGCCGACGCCCGAGACACGCATCGGCTGTCATCTGTGCTCTGCTCTGGGCCTTGTCTCTGCTTTTAAGCATCCTTGAAGGGAAAAGATGTGGCTCCATGTTGCCCAGTTTTGACTATGATTGGTGTCGGGCATCTGATTTCATCTCTGCTGCGTGGGTGATTGCTTTGTTTGTGGTTCTCTCTGGGTCCAGCCTGGTCCTGCTGGTCAGGATCTTCTACAGACCACATCGGATGCCTGTGACCAGGCTGTATGTGACCATTGCACTTACAGTGCTGGTCTTCCTGCTCCTTGGCCTGCCCTTTGGGATAGAATGGTTTCTTTTAGCATGGATTGAGGATTTTTATTTTTCACTCCCTTGTCATTTGTATGGGCTGACGAAATTCCTATCGTCTGTTAACAGCTGTGTCAACCCCATCATTTACTTCTTTGTGGGCTCCATTAGGCGATGCAGGTTCCAACGTCGTCACCCTCGTACTTTCAAGCTGATCTTGCAGAGAGCCATGCAGGACATTCCTGAGGAAGAAGAAGGTGAGACCGGTTCTTCAGAAAAGCCCGGAGAAGTGGAAACAGTGTGATGCAGCAGTTGAGAGCTGCTTTGCTCAGACAGAACTGGCTTTGAGAGTTAACTTTGCCTTTATCAGTGTGTGTAATATTCATGACCTGGCTCAGCTGGTAGCCTGACCTGAAATCAGTAGGGATAATAATCATTTTTGTAGAACGTATGTGATATAAATTTTGTTAAACAAATACTGCAGTGTCTCTGGAACCATTTTACTCAGGGTAAAATGTGATGAGACCCCTGTGATGAGACCCCTTGCAAAAATAACTCTGGGGATCAGGACTTCTGTGGTTGTTGATAAATTCCTCTTAGAAGGCTAAAGACAGTGCATGAACAGACTTAATTTCTTTGGTCACTGAACCAGATACTGGTTAAATAAATATTATATTCTACAAAATTTTTCACACTTTAAAGACTTTATCAATATTAAAAGAATTAATTAAACAGATAAGCCTTATAATCCCTGTCTCCTTTAATTTCTGTAAGCTTTAGAGTATCTATTTATCATTATATGTAATATATCTTAAATGTTCCTAAATAAATTACTTAGTAAACAAAATATACTTTAAAATAGCATATACTAAATCTCTAGTCACCAGATTGGAGTCATCACCTGCAGTTTACTGTTTCCATCGTTTTCAACATTGACAAGAATCAAGTCAGGATTTAGAGTAAGATGCACCAATATCCATATATACTATTTATCATTATATGTAATATATCTTAAATGTTCCTAAATAAATTACTTAGTAAACAAAATATACTTTAAAATAGCATATACTAAATCTCTAGTCACCAGATTGGAGTCATCACCTGCAGTTTACTGTTTCCATCGTTTTCAACATTGACAAGAATCAAGTCAGGATTTAGAGTAAGATGCACCAATATCCATATATACTTAAAGTTTGAGGTAGACTCCCCTCCCATAATTCCTGATTCCCTTCCATCGTACTTTGGTTAGCATGCCAAGGATGTGTGTTCCCTCTCCTTCCTTTTCTGTGTGCCTCAATTCTCCCTCTCTGGGGCCAGTTTCCTCATGGAAATTTTCCGATGAGGTTCCTTAGACTTAGGTCTCTTGTAATTGAACCTCTCTCATATTTATACTTTTCCCAGGAGCTCATAGCATTCACAACTTAAAGTATGTATATTTAGTTACATTTTTATAGGAAAAGATTTCAACTTAAAATACTTCAGTATTTAATAATTCCAACTGAAGTTCACAGTCTTTGATTCATAACTTTCCAAAACTGAAATAGTTTTTCATATAGATTTTGTTTTATATTAATTTTATCTCATCATATTTCTTACTTCATATTTTTGTCCTATGTTTCCCCATTTTCTGTCCCTTAGTACAAAGTTTTGGTAATGACCATCATGTTGATTGTCTCTATATAGTTACCCTTTAAGATACAGTTCACATGTAAGTGGGATTATGTGGTATTTTTTCTTCCTACATTTAGCCTATTTCATTTAGCATAATGTGATTTAAATCTATATACATTGTATGCAATGTCATGATCTTCTTTATAATAGCTGTTTAGTCATCTTGAATACTTGATTTATTGTTTTAATAGTTGACTGTTAGTTTTGTGATCCATTCCTCCATTGTTTGATACTTGGGTTGGTACTAAAACTTGAATATTGTGAACAGTGCTTAAATAAACTAATAAAATTTCATTAATGGTAGAATGACATAATTGTCCATCATTTTATTTAACCTGCTATACTTTTGTTTAAAGTGGTATGTGGTAAGAACATAAAGCTGCATCTTTTTAATTTAAATGCACCTAAGTTGCTCTGTATTGTTTGCACTGTTAGACCATGTACATTTAAGTGCATATTTATGTAGGTGGATTGATGTCTAACAAATAAGCAACTGTCATCTGTTTGGCACTTTTCATTCATCTATTTTTGTAGTTCTGGATATTGAGCACAGGTTCTTGTGAATGGTGGGGCAGTATTCTCAAATTGAGCTACACTGTCAGACCTCAACACTTTGTTATTTTGCATTCCAATCTGTTTTGTTCTCTGGTTTAATTGAATATTTTACACAATTACATGAATTTTTCTAACAATGGGTGAATAAAATTTCTTAGTGGATAGAGGCATTATGTACCTGAGATCAATGCTCAGATCCTAGAAGGTGGGAGGAGGTCCCGATTACCAGGTGGTGTCTCCTCTGACCTCCACACATGCATCATGTATTTGCCCACCTTGAAAACTCACACACACACACACACACACACACACACACACACACACAGAAATAGTAAATACATTAATAGAAATTTAAACATTCATTTACTCATTACCCTGAGTTTGTGATTTAAATTTTAATGTGATTTATTTTTTTTGAGACAGGGTTTTCCCCATAGCCGCAGCTGGCCTGGAACTCACTCTGTAGACCAGGCTGGCCTTGATCTCAACAGAGATCTGCCTGCCTTTGCCTCCCAAGTCCTGGGATTAAAGGCATGTGCCACCATGCCCATTTTTAATGTAATCTTATTCAGAATTAGAGTAGTATTCTTGGATGATTCAGATCTTTACATGATTGTCTCCTCAGCCACACAGCATATTATAGCTATTTTAATGCCAAACTACATTTACAACAGCTAAGGAAACAGTGGAAAATCCCATAGTGTCCAATGTAGTATTATTACAATACAAGTCACATTGAAAAAGACAAAGGAGGGTTGTCTGTAACATGCTCCCCAAATTATGAGTAGCTCAGTATGTATAAAGATACCTTCAACTTTGGGGAAGGAAAGGGAATTATGCCCATGGCTGACTTGCCATATGACACCCAGTGCTGAGAAAAGCCCTATGATGCCAACCTGTAAGTCAGTATCTACAGATTAAGCCACTGGAACTGCATTAGCCAAAAGCAGTATGTTATCATTCAATACCATCCTCTCACCTTGGATGGGAGAGTGAGGAAGGAGCAAGACTTTTCCTACTGTGGAAAAGCCATGTAAAACACCAGAGAAATTTGTCCATGAGCTCAATGCCAAGTTTCCACAGTGGGAGATATCAATAGGCTCATAGACCTTCCCCAGCATCAAATCGAGACTTTAGGAAATCACTGGACAGACTTTAGTCACTGCCTATATCACTGACAACTTTAATGTGAGCACATGCCCCTTGCTCAGAATGTATAGATTGCTGTGGTGAGTCTCAAGTATACACTGAAGTACACACCATCTTAGTATTAACCTTGGTGGCCAACAATCTGTCCCTACAACTTCCCTTCCGTCCTTGGTTAGCAAAGCTATGACCAAGTCAAAACTCACAGATGGAGCTTTGGACAAGGCAGAGACCTCTGCCCCAGTGACACAGATGCAGGTTTTGAGCCACACCATCATAATAATTTTTGTAGTTGTTGGGGTCTTCCTAAGTATGTGAAGATTCTTTTCTTCTGTTTTTTTTTGAGACAGGGTCTCCCTGTAGCCCTACCTGACCTGGAACTCGATATGTCGACCAGGTTGGCCTTGAACTCACAGAGCTCGGCCTGCCTCTGCCTCCCAAGTGCTGGGATTAAATGTGTGTGCCACCATGCCTGGCCTGTGTGAAGATTCTTAAAGCTGTGAGACTCAGGTGAAACCCATCATAATAGCATCAGCCTAGGTATTCCAGGGATTGCCTTCACTAATGCTATTTAAATCTTGTGGAGTAAGACATCATTTACTAGAGTTAACACAGGTGGCATAGGTAGAATTTTTGTCCTATAACAGTGTTGGGTGATGAGCAGTGAAAACTTACACTCTGAAGATCTCTAGTGTAGCCCATAAATAGAAGCTCTGTAACTGTTACCCTACCAGGGGAAGACAAAGGATCCAGCCTATGTAGTAACTAATCCAGTTAGCATCAGTTTCCACTCATTGTAAAGTCTTGGGTCACAAGTCCATCACAACATTAGATATGACATAGCACTGTGAGCTTTTGTCTTACTTCAAGTTTGTGCTTTTCTTGATGGACTATAGGCTCAGGGAGTGACAAGTCAGGTGGTGTGAGGGACATAGGCACAGTATAGGAGCCTGGGGCGGTCCATCCTCAGAGATCCTGCCTAGAGTTAGGAAGAATTTCAGAGTATATAGCCCAAAGTCGGTAATTTTGTATGAGCCACATGTGAGATGACCCTGGTAACAAGGAGAACCTTGTTGATGGGGAACGCACAGCACAATCTCTATTAGATACTCTAAACACATGCTATGGGGATATTTCTAACAACCCACATCTACATTAAAATCAGAATTATTTCAAATAAAAGTATGGTCAGAGATGGGATAAAGACATTTGTCACCACATTTGAGGACCCAACCTCTATCCCTGAGATTAACTTATTAGAGCTGCTTCATTGAGAAGAAAAACAAAATGGAAAAACCTTTAGCTTGAATACCTTAGAAAAAGAGAGGGAAGACTCAAATAAATATCAGAGATAAAAAAGATACTAGATCTGAGACCACTAGAATACAAAGGAACATTACAGATTGTTATGCTTGATATGTTGGTAGCCTAGGACAAATGGACAAATTCTTGGATGCATTTATACCACTCCTCACCGAGACAGATTCATGAAGAAATGGAAAACCTGATGCGACTGTAAGTAATGAGGCTGAATCTATGACAAAGATTCAGTCATAAAAAATTCCAAAGTACATTGCCTCATTGCTGATTTCTGCTGAATATTTGAGAGAGAACCATTAAGACTTATATGAAGAAACATAAACCAGTATCTTTGAATAAATAACTTGCAAAATTCTTCAACAAACTGATAGCAAAACAAATCCAACAGTGCCCTAGAGATTATTCACTGTGATCAAGTGGAGTTCATCCCAGTGCCTCGAGGATGCGTCAACAGATCCTAATAAATGTGATGTATTGGTTAGAATTTGTATCACTATGGCAAGTTATTTGACAGGAGAACCAGTGGGAAGAAAGATTTCTTGGGCTTCTGGTCTGAGGGCTATTCCATTGCAGCTGATCCCATGCACCTGAGCAGAATAGAGCAGAATTGGG